ACTGTGGTCACTTTGGGCCAGAAAGAGTGTGCTGCTCTGATGGTGACATGAACATGTCAACCTGTCCTGTGCGTTAATGAATAGGAGGGAAAGAATACTCACTGCCCCAGTCAACTCCAAGTCATAGTGGCCTTATAGGAGAGAATTGCCCTGTGTGTTTCCAAACCTGTCATCTTTTTTATGGGAGGAGAAAGCCTTATCTTCCCCCACCCCCGAGCTGCTGATGGTTGTGAACTGTTGAACTTGTGGTTAACAGCTCAATACACGCCCAGCATTTGTACAAGTGCTCCTAAACACTTTAGATCTCTCCTGCTTCCACTATATGCTGGTTCTAAGGTTTATATTCAAGAGATAAACAAGAGAGCTTAGACATTATACTGTGAATAAATTAAACAGAACTACATAGGTTTCTCGAGGAAAAAGTACCAGCTGGAACCACTTAGAGTCCAGGTTCATTAGCAGCCAAGCTGTAACAAAGAGTCCCTTTTCAGCATGGACGCCCAAGGTGGGTTAAGAGCTGTCAGCACAGTGGAAGGCAGCCTGTATAGAAAATGGCATGCCAAGAACTTTCTTCCAGGCAGAAGTAACTGGCTTCAGTATCTCCAGCATGTGGGAGACAGCAGCAGTGTCGTGATCATTTTCAAAATGATACTCCTGTCAAAGGCTGAAACACTGAATTCCAAGCCTACTTGGAATTCTATCTACTCATTAGGTACGGCAGAGAGAGTTGGGAGACTCTGAAGGTTAGTATCTATTCCATTCAGAAGTACCCTTTAATAACTGCTCTTTCCTAAACCAAGTTTCTAGATTTTGTTTTACTTTTTACTGTGAAACACAAGCCAGGTATCACAGAGCCTCGGCAATGGCTGGTCAACTGCAGAGAACAGGATCAGGGTGTCGATGCTGAGTGGACCTGGGCAGTAGCCCCAACTATTAGACTCAAAAAAAATTTTTATTAGACTTTTACAAAATGACCACCTCTCTTGTGCTTCACTTTTGTCATTATAAATGAAAACAGTGGTGGGTTACCTGCCAACTCATAGGAAGGTGCTCAAAGTGGCATGAAGGTTCAAAGTATCATGATGGTTTGGGCTAGGCTTGGGGATGCAATAGGCCACTTCCTCTCCTGTCTTAAGGCAGTAACTCTGCTAACTGCAAAGCCTTTGACTATACACGCCCTCCTTGCTGATTGACTATCCTATTATCTGATATTTTATAAAAATAGTTTTTAAAAAGCTACTGGTTACTTTGTGTATCTCTCACAGTATCTAATCCTGAGGTTTGAGGAGAGTAACACTGGCTGAGACTGGTTATATGCAAGTGGCCTGGCAGTATGCAATGATGCAATTGTCTTCCACTTTGAGATCTCAAGTGGTCATGCTCCTGTTTTCATAATGACCAAGTCTTTAGAACTTAAGCATGCCAATAAATGAGGTGTGGAAAGGGATACCCGTCCTCAGCTTACCTTCTTTTCATTGACATCTGCCTGTTCCTCGTCCTCATTCACTTCTTCCGGCATATCTTTGATTTTGTTCAAAAGCTCAGCCTTGGGAGCAGACACACTGTAGTAAGCCGAACTGTTGACCAACATGCCCACCATTTCCTTTTCTTCATTCCTAGACCAAAAGGAACAAAAAGCATAGCCACACAGACGCTTCATTATGCTGTAGATGTCTGTCCCTTCAGAAATGTGCAAAAATTCTATTATATGCCTTACTCGGACATTAGGATCCATTAACTACTGAGTATTTACAAAGAAGTGAATACTGTGTGCAGGGTGGCCTTTGAATCCAGGCAAACTTGGGATGGAAACCACCAATGGCTGGATGCAAAAGCACGAAAACTGTGGCCTCAGGCATGACTTACGTGACTGACACAGGTTTCAATCCAGACTTCCTGTGCCTTACATCTTTCTTTTTCCACTCTCAGAATCTGTTCACATACTCTGGCCCTGCTTCCCCGCAAGTGAAACATGTTTACTCAAAACTATGATTTAAATTAGAAAAATCGTCCGCAGGAAGAGGGCCAAAATATCTTTTGGACTAATCAAACTCCCCAGAGAACCGAAGAGGCAGACATCTGAAGTAGAGAGTTAAATCCCAAGTTCATGGAAGGTGATGTTAAATTTCGTTAACATGTTGTTAAATTTTATACTGTTTATTATTTGTGCCATTGGAAATATTTTTATTGTATCTAATATTACAAGAGGAACAGAAAAAGGTATCAAAAATAGCTACTTGACTTTTAATGTGGCAAGTGGTTATATATTGGGCTGCTAACTGCAAGGTCAGCAGTTTGAAACCACCAGCTGCTCCAAGGGAGAAAGATGAGGCTTGCTACTTCCTAAGAGAGTTACAGTCTCAGAAACCCACAGGGTCACTGTGAGTTGGCATCTACTCAATGACAGTGAATTTGGTGCTTAAAAACCTCCTTTTCTGGATATTTTTAGAGGGTTACCTAATAGTACTGACTTTTAGTGTGTTTATTATCACAGGCTAGACTAATGATCTTGATTAAAGGAACTATTTCCCTAATATTTGTAATCAAGCCATTGTTTTCCCCAGCAATACAGACCATGATATGACTTGAGGAAAAACCACCCCAGGAAACCTGTCTTTAAAAAGGAACGGCTTCACAGCTTGGGTAAGGATTTTGAAAACACCAAGTTATTTCTCTAAATGTGGCCTTGCCCCAAGCTAACGATGAACGAAGCAGTATCACCTCAACGTCGGCACAGTGAACCACGTTTACGTCTGTGACATAAAAGGTATGAAAGAAAAGCACCCAGAATAAGTCCACGAAGAACGTACTCAAATTTGATTTGCTCTTTCCTTTTTCTTCTACTTCCCAAATATGTGCATACTTCCTTGAATGAATTATGTTTACTTATTCTCTGAAAACATGCTTGTAGCTGATGTATGACAAAGTTATAGTTTATGGTAACACAAATGATCAGAATGTTCCTCCAAAAGATATTTGTGCAGTTGTCTGTGACCAGAAACTGATGAAGTGACCTTATGAAATGGTTACGACGGTGACACATATGCAACCCTTCCCCTCTTTCTGAGCTGTAAAGCACTTTATCAAGTCCAACCACAAAGTTCTCTTGTCCCTCTCCTTATAGGGGTTCTTATATTTTACTCTGAGAGGGGGTCGGCACAGCAGCCGGCCAGTGGCCCCTGCAAGCTGCTCTTTCTGCGCAAGGCTTTCAACTGGTTCATTTACAACCCAGATGTACAGAAGCAGGATGTTAGCAAGATCATTTTAACAAGATCCCTGTAGACTCTGAATCAGTGTATCTGGGTCCTAAATGCCAATTCTCAGCAGGGGAGCAAATTGGAAGGAACCAGTTGGAAGCCCTGCTTTGGGGGAATGTATAAGAACGATACTGATTCTGTTTGTCACAGAAAGGCAGTGAGGGGCCATGACTTAGTTGATGTGAAAATATTTTCAATGGGCTACACAAAACTCAGATTTAGGTTATTTCTTACTCTTCCATGGTTAACCATAATCTTTCTGACATTGACTGTATTGTTGCTTATGTACATATATTTTTCCCTCTTGAGTAACCTGATAAACACTATGTCAAAATGAACTAATATGACTGCTCTCATCTCCTTATTAACTACACACAAAACTGGGGGGGGCGGCGAAGGGGAGGGGCGTGAGATTTCTAGGCTGGAGAACAGGGCAGGAAGTTAGAAATCTGACACTTACTGCTCTGCTTTACTGTTGGCAAGCCGCCTTTCAGGTTCTACCTACTAAATAAATGATTCTACGGGTATAAGCCCATCTTTATACCATTATACTGTGGTATAAAGAACCACGGAAAAGCCCATTTACATGTTTCTTGCAACACAACCAGGAGTCACTTTTGTTACGGCTCGTTTATGCAGAAGGTGCCCTGGCATTGCAATGGTGCTCAGTTGTGAACTCAAAGGCTGGGGTTTCAACCTGCCACTGGCTCCCTGGGAGAAAAGACCTGGCGTTCCGCCACCCAAAAGACTCCAGTCTAGGAAACCCTGTGAGGCAGTTCTAACCTGTCCATAAGGTCGTTATCAACCGGACCTCGACAGCACATACCAGCAGTTTTATATATAATAAGGCACTTGCTGTCTCAATAGTCACACGTACAGTTTAGTGACATTACTTATATGACTCATGCCCTGTGAGCATCACCATTATCCATCCCCACACTTTCCCATCACATTTAACAGAAGCTCAGGGTGACGTTTTGATCCCAGTGACTTAGAAAAAAGGGTATGTATCTAAACATATATGTGTGTATACATACATGCCCATCTGGCCTTTGCAGAACTAAATCCCACAATGTTTAATTGCAGGCAGGCTCACGCACAGCAGGACAATGCCTGCATTCGCCAGACGATGGCGCATGTTATCCTTTTGGGAACTCCCTGGGAAGGTGCTGTCAAAGACCATTTCACTTTGAAATTGGCTGTGACAGCATATGCTCTGCCCCTAACTCACCCTTTTCTCAGGCAAAATGAAAGGAAACAACACAAATCAAAGCATGGCATGTTTGCTATTCACTTAGCTAAGATCAGTAGAAATTTCTACAGTATAATTGTGGGTTAGGCGTTGGGTTGAGATCTGCAAGTCCAGCGCTCCAAACTAACAGCTGCTCCTGGATAGGGCTTTGTATTCCCAGTCTCAGAAGCCCCCAGGGACAGTCCTATCGAGCCTATAGGGTCACAATGACCCCATCAACTCAATGGCAGGGAGTGTTAAATCCACACTTAGAGAAAATGCTGTTTTTATTTAATCTGGGAACCACTAACTGCTGAGTCTTAGTCTGTCAATTCACATGGTATTCATGGAAAACTAAAAAATAAAATAAAACCACCAAGACGTTCCTCTAGTGGTCTTTTAAGGAGATCAAACAGGTCTCATGAGAGCAGAGTAACCCACAAGAAATCTGAAGAATGAAAATCAAAGACGGCTTCCGGCTCTTTCCCTGCCTGTGTCTGGGTGCTCCATGACAGTGAACGCCCACTACTCCGGGGGTTAGAACAGACACAGGCTGACAAAGCTGCCCTCCACTCCTCGGATTTCAGCAAACCTCCTCCACCTTGGCTCCTTGGATCTGAACATCAGTGTTTTAAATCAATCTATTCCCCTGGGCTCTGCCTCGTTCTACACAGCCCATGTTGACATCAGCCGTGGAGAAGTGTGGCATCTCACAGCTGGGTCTGCTCCTTCGACACCCCCCAGGCACTCTGCAAATCTAACTCTCTGATGGAGCATTAATTCTGAGTTTGCTGAGCTGGGGGATGAAGGGCAGTGACACAGTCCTGTTGCACTCCCTAAGAGCCCGCACAGAGACCAAGTTCCCATGCAGACAACCTTGTCTGGGCATCACCCTTAATTTCTCTGTGCTTCAGTTCCCTCATTTGCGAAATGGAGATAGGAGTGGCAGTTACATGAAAAATTTAATACGATGTTTAATATGCAGAACAAGAACCAAGGCATTAATAGCAAGTATTATTACTACTACTACTACTACTATACACAGTTGGGCAAGTGACTGGTAACTTGCCAGAGGGTCATTCTGTCTGCCTCATATCCTGCTTTCCAACTTCTCCTAAGGCTGAGATGGAATGCCACTTTTGGGTCAGGAGCTACAAAGTAGGGGGGGTAGCAGAAAAGTCGTCCTAAGCTTACACTGTCCTGGAGGGAGCTTGATTCTAAGTCTCTTTGGGGACATTACCAGAAATCTAGATGTCATTAGAACATACCATTTGCAGTCGCCTCCTGGGTAGATGACAGCTCTCTGTGTGACCTTCCTTTTTATGCTGTTGTCCTTCATCAGGTGAACATCCCGGGGGAATAAACCTTCCATCAGGTCCATAGTTGTCTTCATTCTGGAGTCTGGGTCCAAAATGTCTGCCAGAGATTTGTCCTGGTGGACAATCTCCTTGGCTAGAGCCTCTGTCCTGATGTCTTCTGACTTCTGAGGGCCATCACTGACTTTCTCTTCTAAGCCCCGAGTTCCAGTGACTGGATCGGGGCCCAGGCGTGGGGTCTGAGTGGGAGGTGGCTGCCCTGGGCTTGGCTGCTTGTCAAGAGACCCAGCCAGTTGGAGCTGGGCACTCATGAAGGAGGGCAGGTTGGCCTCTTGGGCTTCTGAAGCTTTGATAGAAGAATGGGCTCTGGAAGCCAGTATCTGACTGCTCACCAAAGGGGCTGCGTCAGGCACTGCTCTTTCTCTCACAGTCGATACCCTGGGAAATTTGCTAGAGCTGCTAGGGATATTAAAAACAAAGCAAACATGAGTGGTGAGAGAGGTATAAACACAAGGCAAAAGGAGATACTACCCTATTTCCGAGTTTATTACTCTCGAAAGGACCGTCTCCTCCTGAGACTAGTAGGTGGGTTACAGGGAAGCTATGTCACTTTTTGAACAGAGAATGGGGTAAGTCATTCTTGTGGTGTTTAGAGGAAGTAAAACAGAAGTTTTTGGTTACGGTGTTTTGAAAAATCACTTGTCCTAGGGAGTTTTATGTTGGAAAATGCTTCTTCCCCATTCTTCTGGTTTCCAAGAAGAGGTTTTCCCTCAATATTATTTACCTTTAGCCCGACCTATTTAACCCTTCCTATAGACATTGAATGGTTTTTAAAAGGGAAAGTGATCATTCATAGTCCAGCCTCTTCTTTCCTTAAAAACGAGGCTGCCTCCATTTCCCAGATCAGCTTCAACATCCTGTCCTCAATAAAAGCTGTTTAAAACTAAGGATTAGAAGGCCCACTGTGATAGTTAAGGTTTTGGGGTTTGTTTGGTTTTTTGACAGTTAAGGGTTTTGTGTCAAGTTGGCTAGACCAAGGATTCTCAGTGGTTTGGCAGTTAAGACATAGTTATCTCCCACGATAAGATCTACTATGTAACTAGCTCCATGATGAGATTAACTAGGAGCAACCAACCAAGTGAAAGAAGTTTCCTTGGTAGTGTGGCCTGCTTCCAATATACAAGGATACTGTGGAAAAGCTAGCTTGCTTTTGGCTGGGTCTGAATACAGCCATCTGACTTATTATCTAACCTCCAGTTCCTTGGATTTAAGCCAGTTACCTATCATAATGCCTGCTGATTCTGGGAATCTTCAGCAGTCTGCCAATCAACTTGCTGACCTTAGATTCACTCACCCCGGTGGTCTGAAGCCTGTCATCTGAGCTGTAGCAACACAAATCAAGAGAAGCCTCCAACCTGACATCTGATCCATGGCCTTAGAATTTGCCCTTCTTTTCAACTGTGTGACCAGGAGCCCTGGTGTAGTGGTTATGCAATACACTAACCTCAAGGTCAGCGTTTGAAACCACCAGCTGCTCCGAGGGAGGAAGATGAGGCTTTCTACTCCCATAAACAGTTAGTCTAGGAAACCCCACAGGGGTAGTAGGTTTCCTGTCCTATCAGCATGGACTCAGTGGTATTGAGTTTGGTTTTTAGTTTACAACTGTGAGCCATTTTTCTCAGTATAAATCTCTCTGTATATGTACATATGCAAGTTTCACTAGTTTTGTTTCTCTAGAGAATCCAGCCAAAGATACCCACTTGCTCTTAGATATAAGCCATGTTCTCCAGTATTAGCTCTATCAGTACTTACCTTCTAAGAACCCTGGTTTTCAAAAGTTTATGGATGGGGAAAAAAAAAGAAAAAAAAAAAAGTTTATGGATGGGAAAAAAAAAAAAAAAAAAAAAAAAGTTTATGGATGGCAGTGACAGCCTAAAGTCTACTTTCAGAGTACCCACATAGCCTAAACCTCCACTGAAAGCTTTCTGATCATTAACCAAGAATCCCTCAGGCAGTGCCTTAGGGAGTGGATTGCCTCCACCCATTAACAGACAGCCATAGGAGGGGCAGTCTCTCTCTTAGGAACTGGCTTAGGTGTGTCTTTGATGGAGGTCACCATACTGGTCTGGTCCTGACAACCTTGGCCAGATGGCCCCAGACCAATCTTGTAAGCCCTTGTATCTAACAGCGTGCATGTCCCAATTGTGCAATTGCTCCAGCTTCCATAGTCCCACCTGTCACTGCTCTGCCACCAATCATGCTTTGTGGCAGTTTCCTTTGCCTCCCTGGAACATGCAGCCAGACCACAAGGAGTCCAATGCCCTTTCTAAAGCATTGTATCTCAACACACACATGAACACCAATTTAACCTCGGGTTGGTGGCCTCCTTCATCCGGATTTGGCTGTGTCTTAACAAATGTCTCTCTACATGATATAGGCATCCTTTTGTGTCAAGTATCAGTCAAAGAGTGATATTTTAATCTTTGACATGCCCTTCTCTTTTTCCTTAACTGACTTGGGAGGGGAAAGAGGAATACTATTTATTTAGACTCCTTGGACCTCTCGTGTCCATAAGAAATGTAATGTGCCTCTTTAGATTTGGGCTTTCATTTTCATTACTCTCACTTCCTAGTACCCAGACTAGTAATATAACTACCAACCAAGAAAAAGACATGAAACAGACTATTTAATAAGCTGGGCATATATAGGTTTTCCTGGGGCTTGAATATTTCCCATTATTTTAGTGAAGGAAACCCTTTGTCCCCTAAGGTGGTACCTGCCCTACCCAGTGTCTGCTCACTCACCTGGCTTGGGGATCCTCAAAAGTTTTGCTGTCCAGATGTGCCTCATACAGCGCTTGAGGAGGGGGTGGAGGAAAATCATCCAAGACATTCAATGGGCTTTCCAGGCTCTGAGGAGGAGAAGGAGGAGGTGGGGGTGGGAGAAGAGCTTCAAATGTGGGGCTAGAAGTGGCAGTGGGTTGCAGGTCCTTCACAAACACTTCATCGTCATAGTCCTCACGAGCTGGTGGTGAGGCTTGAAGGGCCGACTCGGATATTCGGAGGGAGATCCTCCCTGGAGTGCTTGGGGCCCTGACAGGTGTGTCTGGGTCAGAAGTGCTGCTTGAACTTGGAAAGCTTGGCTGCCTTTTGTAGTGCTTCAGGTTTACAAACTCAGGCGGCAAGGATTCCTCGGGAAGGCTGTCCTCCAGGACTGTGGGGGCCCATTTCACTCGTGGGGGAGGTGGCCTCTGAGGCAACGAGGCCCTTTTCCTCATCCCCTCCTTGATCCCATTCTCTGGGCTGGTGGGTTCAGGGCCTCTCAAACTTGCAGGCTGGGTCAGGCTGAGACCACTGCTTCTGGAGGTCGGTACAGGGGTGGATGGTGAAAGAGGCTGTTGCCCTGGCAGGCCATCATCATTCCCGGCCTGCTGGGTGGCCGCAGCCTGTGAGGAGTAGGTGGCAGGCAGAGCAGAGCTGAGTGGTCCCATCCTGGTATCTGGGAGATGGCCCTGCATTCCTGCTGGCAGTGGCCTGGGGCAAGATGTCCTATTGGCTTGCCTCTGAGAGTCTTGGGGTCCAGGACACTCACTAGGAACTGAGGGGCCGAGGACTGTTCTGCAGCCTGTGCCACCTGGATGGGAGTTTGTAGGGTGTATGAGCAATGGCACTTCTTCTCGGTCTCTTTCTGAACAACTGAGTGACCTGGAGTGGAATACAAGGCTGAGAGTTATGGCTCTGAAAAAAGAGGCCACCCCTGAGCCCAAGGGCCTGGGAGGAAGGAGGTACTCCGCTCCTGCTCCCGAGTTGAAATCGGATACCAGACAGGTCTAAGCCCCTACAGAAAAGCATCCCATGGAAAACCTGGGCTCCCCAAGTGCCTCCCCTTTGCTACCCTTCTTGCATGGTTCTTAAGGCCCGTACACATCACCCTCTCCCTCACAATGCAGCTTCTGTGACCCCATGTGGTGGTGTTGACTCCATGGGTCACAACAGGGAAATTGCCCCAGTTTCCTAGGCTGTAATGGTTAAAGTGGCAGATCACCAGACCTTTCTAACACAGTGCAACTGGCATGGGTTAGAACTGCCAACCTCTAGGGAGCAAATGGTTTGGGTCATTGGGGACCTTCTTTTGGAGGTCAGCCTTCAGGATAGAAAAGGAGACAAGTAGACATATCTTCAGCTCCCCTTAGGACTTCTTTGAGAACTGGTGTCTGGCTTGCTGGCTCCCGCTAAAAATGCTGCCTCATTCCTCTCCTAGAGCGATCCTTAGTGGGGAGGCTTGTTTGGAGAGCATGTGTGCCAGCTGCCGATTTTGAAGGTTTTATTTACAACTTTCCCTCAGCGCCCTAGGGGTTTTCTTTCTTAAAAGGAAAAAGAAAACAAGGGGAGAGTCTTGCCTATGGAGTTAATAAATAGTTACCTGTGGAGAGGCTGCCGAGAATAAGCAAATACAGTACATGGTGATTTAAATAACTGTCCTCTAGGCTCCAGGGAAAAAGCCAACAATTTTCAATATTTTGTTACTGTGTTCCAAAAGGAAAACCAGAAAAGAAAAACAAAGAAAACAAGTCCACAGCCTGGTCTGCCTGCCATACAGGCAGGGATGTGAGGGTAAGCCCGGCAGCTGCACTGCCATGGATGGATCCCGTGTTTGCAGCCTTCCTCCGGTTGGCTGTGCAAGTCCATCTGGAGGGCAGGGGGCACTTTTCACTTCACAAATCTGGCTCCTCCTCAAAGGGAGCTGTTGTGGAGTCCTCAGGCCCGGTGACACCAGCGCCCGCCAAGCCCTGGGGTGCCGGGTATGGACAGCGTAACACGCAGCCAGATCACAAGGAGTCCAAGGAGAGCCTCTCAGACCTTCAACTGCTCGACGTTGCAATCATTCAGGGACTGTTTCTTCACCAGGACCCTCTCCACGAGCCTCAGAGGGCAGCGGCACGAGTGTCCTCTACTTTCATGTCTCATTCCCTTTGTTGTTCCTGGCACCTGGCACCTGGCCCCACATGCCCTCTCTGTATGCATCTGCAGGTGAATGGGTCTCTCCTCAGCATCCTGGGTGGGCCTCGGTGGCACAAATGGCTACGAATATGGCTGCTAAGGGGACATGGAATGCACTGGAATCTGAAGTCTTGATGACTAATCCAGGTATATTCATTTTATGATACATATATCCCAAGGCTTTTAAAAAGAGGTATCACTAAACATGTGATTAAATAACAAACTGTTATCCTTTAAAGATCTGACCCAGTAAACTTGGATTGCAGTGCATCTTCCCACCCCAAAGATGTGCATTATAAGTATAAGGTGTGTCTTGAGGTAGAAAACGTGGAGGTTAAAGCAAGGAAGCAGAGCTGGGGGAAAGTAGATGCAATGCAACATGAAGATACTTAAAGGGAAGATGGGAAACGATAGGGTCCTGCTCCCCGAGGAGCTAAAGAAGAGGTAGGTTGCCACTGGAGCCAGCATCCTCACTCGAGACTTAGTCTCAACTGCAGAAAGAAATTTCTGTTTGTTAAAACTAACCCCTCCTGGTATTTGTGCTATAGCAGCACTTGACGAAGATGTTTTCCGTTTCTGTCTGATCAGTTCCTGAATCTATAGGGGTCATATAAAATTGGGAAAGTTTGAGGGTAGTACTGTCATTGAGTCCATTCTGACTCACAGGACCCTGTAAGACAGAGCGCAACTGCCTGTGGGATTCTGAGATCGTTTAACTTTTTAAAAAATCATTTTATTGGGGCTCGTACAATTCATCACAATCCATACACACATCCATTGTGTCAAGCACATTTGTACATCTGTTGCCATTATCATTCTCAAAACATTTGCTTTCTACTTGAGCCCTCGGTATCAGCTCTTCATTTTTACCCTCCCCCCCTCTCCCATGAACCCTTGATAATTTATAAATTATTATTTTGCCCTGTTTTACACTGTCCAACATCTCCCTTCACCCACTTTTCTGTTGTCCATCCCCCAGGGAGGAGGCTATATGGAGATCCTTGTAATCTGTTCCCCCTTTCTCCCACACCTTCCCTCTATCCTCCCGGTATCGCCACTCTCACCACTGGTCCTGAAGGGTTCATCTGTCCTGGATTCCCCATGTTTCCAGTTCCTATCTGTAGCAGTGCACATCCTCCGGTCCAGCCGGATATGTAAGGTAGAATTGGGATCATGATAGTGGGAAGGGGGAGGAAGCATTCAAGAACTAGAGGAAAATTGTATGTTTCATCATTGCTACACTGCACCCTGACTGGCTCGTCTCCTCTCCACGGGTCTTCTGCAAGGGGATGTCCAATTTCCCACAAATGGGCCCTGGGTCCCCACTCCGCACTCCCCCTCATTCACAATGTTATGATTTTCTTTTTTGGGGAGGTCTTTTAATGCCTGATACCTGATCCCTTCGATTCCTTGTGATCTCACAGGCTGGTGTGCTTCTTCCATGTGGGCTTTGTTGTTTCTTAGTTAGATGGCCCCTTGTTTATCTTCCAGCCTATAGGACCCCAAATTCTATATCTTTTGATAGCCGGGCACCATCAGCTTCCTTCACTTCACTACATTAGCTTATGCACTGGCTTTTTCTTGATGAGGGTAGAAAACCTCAACTTTCTCCCATGGAGCACATGCTGGTTTTGAACGGCTGACATTGTGGTTAGCAATCCATCATGAACCCCCCTATGCCACTAGGGCTCCTTGAAGGCAATACTTAAGTTAAAGGTTGTTGGTGCAGAATGTGGCTGTTTTGTGTTGTTCCAGGAACAAGTACAGGACAAAAAGATTTCATTCCAGTACATTTTTTAATGGATGTGAGAGGCTCCCACAAAATCTGAGGACCTGAATCCAGTAATTCTCATATTCACCAACTGGCTTCTGGACAGCAACGACTCCAGACGTTGACCTCAGAGATTACTTTTCTTTTAGCAGGGCTTGACCTCATTGCTATTTTGCCCTTGTCTCAAACTAACCAAAGTCCTCAGCCTCACCTTGAATAATTCCTTCCTATTAGGTGCAGCAGCAGCAGCATGGGACTGAATTAATTGTGGTGGAAGCATGAAGAACAACAGTGCAGGCTGCTCTTGGCAGCTGCGTAGGTAACCACTTCCTGACTGCCTGCACCACAGTGATAGTCTGAGGGAAAATTATTGAAAAGGTGGAGATAGAGAGAAATAGCTGGAGTAAACAGAAGGAAAATGGAAGGAGCTAGCTTAAAAAGACATATTGCCATCATCAATAACGAGATAATGGTATAAAACTAGTCAAATAGGGGTATGAAGTAGTAAAAGAATAACATTTGACTTACTAAGTCCCATGTGAAAAGTTCAAAGCGTCAAAATCTAGAATACTACCCATTATAATTTCCACCTAGGAGAAATGATTCCCCCCCACCCCTTAAGACAGCTAACTTCCCTGCTACTTCTTATACTTATGTGTGTAGAGAGTGCTTGTGAGCCTTATTTATTTTTATTATTGCACAACTTATACATTTCAAATGGAGAAGAAATGAGTATCATTTATAGTATCTGGCCTTGAATGAGTTTCTTATCCAGAACTTTGAGGTTTACAAAGTGTATCTTAAAATGTACTACTGTGGAAAATGAAGACAACTTAAATCAAGTAGGGGGAGGGGAGGACTTGTGATGATTAACTGCTGTAACACTGTCCTTCGAGCGGCTGAGAAAGTTTCGTGTTTTCTTTTGACATCATTGGGTGCTGGAGCTCTTGCAGGGCAAATCTGATGCTGTAGGAATTCTGCCATTTTGCTGGCACTGATATGTCTGGGGTCCACTGTTCCATCAGAACTATAAACTCTGTTCATATTAATTTTTGTTACAAATATTCCAAAGGGGGCTGCTTCTGGGTTTAGTCCACATTCTTTCTATTTTCAAGCTGTATATCTGGTTTTTTGTAAGTTGTCCAGGCTCCGGGTGGCTGCCATTTTGCATGGCTGATGGTCCGCAAGCTTTATTTGTGACTTCAGGTTCGATTTCCTCAGAGAAGCTGCCTATGAACTTGCTCCTTCCTCCAGCCCTGCGAACGCTGGGGCATGCTAGTAGAGACTGCGTGTGTGAGAGCTACAGGATGTGCCTCCCCAGTCTTATTCTGATGTCAGCCTCTTTAGGAGTCAACCATTTCCTCACATTCAAAGCCTTTTCTGAATCAGTGCTATTCTTAGAGTCATTTAAAAGTAAACAAAGAGATCTCCTGGCCTAAAAAGTGAAAAAGGCAGCACACGTAACACTGAGTAGTACTACAATTCTGTCAGGAAACAGCAATCATTTAAGTGTAGCCACATTCCCAAAGCAGAGATCATCACAAATCAATACACATACCTAGATCCAGGGCCAGCCGAGGAACATGGGTTCTTCTCAATAAGACCAAGGCTATTCTTGTCCCCAAAAAGTATATCCTTGAAACACAAGAAAAGCATATTATCACTAC